GGTTTTTTGTTTTTTTTTTTTTGAGTTGGAGTCACTCTGTCACCCAGACTGGAGTGACCTGCTGGGCTCCAGCGATCCTTCCGCTTCAGCCTTCCAAGTAGCTGGAACTACAAGCGCGTGCTACCACGCCCAGCTAATTTTTGATTTTATTGTAGAGATGAGGTCTCACCAAGTTGCCCAGGCAGGTCTCGAACCCGCGGGCTCAGGCGATCCACTCACCTCAGCCTCCCAAAGTGCTGGGATTACAGGCTGAGCCACCGAGCCCGGCTAATTTTTTGATTTGTTATAGAGATGAGGTCTCCCCAAGTTGCCCAGGCGGGTCTCGAACCCACTCACCTCAGCCTCCCAAGGCACGGGATTACAGGCTGAGCCACCATCCCAGCTAGCTTGCATTTCTTAACACTCATTTGATCTCTTCCTTTCAGTTTGGTCAGATGGTGAGTGGTTTCCGGGAAGAGAATTAAGAGGAATATAGTTCAGATGCTCCCAAAGCAGAAATCCAGGAGATGAGAATGAAGGTTCATGCCTCTAGAGGAGAGGCTGACACTTTCCACCTAGGGCACTTCTGATGTGAGAGGTGTTGGGTGAATTGGTTGGAGAAGCTTTGGATTACTGGTGAAGGAGAGGAATGTCTGAGATGAGAAAGGACAGAGAACACTCCTCATCACAGGCATCCACCATCCTCCTAGCCTTTTCTGCTGCCTTACTGAGGACTTAGGCACCAAGCTCACTGTCTTCCTATTTCTGCCCTGATTCCAGGGAGGCAGAATTTGTAGAGACCCCCTTGCCCTCAGTCTGCACACAGGCACAAGTCTCACCCTGTCCCTCCGAAGAATGTTTTTGCTGTTGCTTCTCAGGATAATTCAGGGGCTCCTTCTCTGTTTCTTGGGAGTTCCTTCCTTAGCCCTTAGCTCCTCTCTCTATGTAGTTTTTGTGCAGTTTCAGCCACTTTTGTCTCCTAAGGCTGTAACAACCACTCATTGTCCTAATGGCTTTCTGATCTCTATCCCTAGCCCTGACCTTTCATATATTTCTGTCTGGACATCTCACAGTCACCACTAATAAAACATATCCCAAGTGGATTTCACTCTGGTCTTTCTGAATGCCCAATCTTAGTTCACTTAGCCATCTTCAGCATAGTCACCCAAACCAGATTTCTTGGTGTCAGCTTAGACCCCTTATTATATTTCATACCTGAGGTCTTTTTTTTTTTTTTTTTTTTTTTTTTTGAGTTGGAGTCTCACTGTCATTCAGGCTGGAGTGCAGTGGCACACTCACGGCCACCACAACCTCAATCTTCTAGACTCAGGTGATCCTTCCACCTTAGCCTTAGCCTTCCAAGTAGCTGGGATCACAGACACACAACACCACGCCTGGCTAATTTTTTTTTATTTATTGTAGAGATGCGGTGTCACCATGTTGCCCAAGCAGGGCTGGTGTGGTCTCAAATGCCTCGGCTCAAGCAATCCTCTTGCCTATGCCTCCCAAAATGCTGGGATTACAGGTACGAGTCACTGCACCCAGCCGTATTTCATACCTAATGCATTGCCATATCCTGCTAATTTTATCTTTAAATCTTCCTGCATTTACCCTCCTGTTTTTTCCTGCCACTATTTTCTTGGCCAAAATCTTATCTTCTCTCCTGTGAATGATTATAGTTGCTTCTCAGCTGGTCTCCCTGCCCCAGGCCTGCTCTCCTCCTATCCTTAGCAGCCAGAGGGAGCTTTCTAAAGTACAGATGTGACTGCATCACTCTTCTCAAGCATTCTAGGGACTCCCCTCATCTATAGGATGGAGTCCAGGCTCCATCAAAAGGGACAGTAGGGTTCTCTGTGTTCTGACCCCTGCTTATGTCTCCACATTTCATCTCTATTTTATATTCTAGGAAACAAGGAATCTGAACTATATTCCTCTTAAATTTCTGTTTTTGTGTAAGCCATTCCTTTGCCTGTATGTCTTTTCCAACTTATTTTGTCTGGCTAACCTACTCATTTTTTTATAGCTCAGTGACTACCTTCCCCAGGAAACTTTTCTGAATCCATTGAGTGAGATATATGTCTTTCTGGACTCTCATGGCCTCTGGGCTCCCTGGGCACTGTCTGTCCTAGCATTTACTGCATTATATTGAAATTGCTTATTTAACAAAAGTTTAAATGTTGCTTATTCTATGCCAGGCTCTGTTCTAAATACTTTGCTAATATTTAATCCCAATAATAATTATTTGAGGTATTATTGTTATCACCAATTCTAGGTGAGGAAACTGGGGCACAGCAAGATCAGATACCTTGTCCAGTGTTGCACAGCTTGTAAGTGATAGAGCTGAAGTTTGAACTAAGGCTATAGAGCTTCAGGATCTGTGTACTTCTTACATTTGTGAGTATTTCTCCCCTACTGAGTAGCCAGTTCCTCAAGGGCAGGGCCATATCTATTTATTTAATAACCTCACTACATGACCTGATAGCTCAATACCTGTATATTGAACTTTTAATCCAAACTACAAATAAGTCCGAAACAATAGCATTTTCTCTATCAAACAATTGGGAGGGTTTGTATTGAATGTTTGATTTGTCCTCTAGTCAGTCTTGTCTTGGAGCACAAAACAAGCCCAACCTCCTCCATTGTATTCTGAGCACTTAGGCCTGAGCAAGAAGGCTGCCTCCCTTGCTTCCACATAGCCAGCCTGTGAATGTGCAGGGCCAAGCATAGAGGGAGGAGGTGGTAGTGTGTGGAGTGGTGTGTGGAGAGTCTGCTTAACTGGAATATGGTGGGTGGGCTAGAACTGGGGTTTGAAGATGTTAAGAGTTGTATGTCATGGGCTAGAAAAATGCTGTTCCATGACTGCAGGGCTGGTGTGTTTGAGTGTGAGCTTGATGAGGTGACATGCCTGTGGGGGGAGCTCAAGTTAGACAGTGCTGAGTCTCCTTTCACTGGATGTCCAGTTGGGTGCTATGGCCATGGCTCCTGCCAAGGTGTTCCCTGTCAGCCCCTTGCTCTAGCCTGCTCACTGGAGTTGTATTCTGGTATTTGTGAAGAATACTTGTGTTTCTATTTGGAGGTTGGAGGTTCTCTCTAATTCTCAGTTTCTTCTGCACCTAGGGAGAGTCCACAGCAAAAAATACCCAGTCAAATCCATGGATATCAGGATTGGGAACAAGCCTGCTAGCCGCATCCAGATGTTCCTCCATTCAGATGCCATGCCCACGATGACAGGTGGGCAGGACTTCACGGTCAGAACAGCAGGAAGCTGGTGGCTTGAGCAGGTTGGGCAGAAACTTGCCTGGAATCCCGGCAGAGCAAGAGGCCTGAGCCACTGACACTTGACACTGTTTCCATCTGAGGCATCTTAGATCCCAGCATCAGATAACAAGTGAGGTAGAGCAGGCATTTTTGAAGTTCTGTAAAAGCTTAGAACCATGAGGAAGAATAAGAAATTGAAAGTTATAAACTGTTTTAATTATCCTTTGGTTTGGTTTTATTGTATTGGGGGGTAATTTTATTATATTTTGATATATTTTCAAACTTACAAATATATAGAACAATAATTCTGTAAGAATAATTCAAGGAACTCTCATATATCCTTTACCCATTCATTAATTTCCTTCCCCCATCTTTATCACCTTCTTTATGTACATAATACATATATATACATATGTGTATGTATATATATTCTTCCCCCGTTCCAGTTGAGAAGTTGAAGACATCATGAGCCCTTACTCCTAAATACTTCAGTACTGGATATATTTCCTAAGAACAAAAATATTCCCTCACATAATCCCAGTACAAGTATCAAAATTATAAAATTTAACATTGACATAGTACTTTAACTCACTTCCCACCATATTCAAATTTCACTACTTGTTCCAATATTATCCTTCATAGTAATTTTTATCCATTTTTCTCCCATGACAAGTCTTCACGCATTGTATTTAGTTGTTGAGTCTCTTTAGTCTCCTTTTGTTTGAAAGTTCTTTATTTTTTTATTGTCTTTTTTGATTTGGACATCTTTGAAGAGTACAAGCAAGTATGTTTAAGGTTGTTTCTCAGTTTGCATTTGCCTGGTACGTTCCCATGATTAGACTTACGTTGTGTGCTTTGGCAGGAATATCACAGAAGTGATGTTAGTGCTTCATATAAGGAAGTATGTGATGTCGATTCAGATGTTTGTGATGTTAACTTTAATCACTTGGTTAAGGAGCTGTCTGCCTGGTTTCTTCACTGGAAAGTTACTCAGCTGGCTCCGCTGCTGGTTTTTTGTTTTGTTTTTGTTTTTGAGTTGGAGTCTCACTCTGTCGCCCAGACTGGAGTGCAGTGGCCGCTGCCAGTCACCGCAGCCTCGACCTGCTGGGCTCCAGCGGTCCTTCCGCCTCAGCCTTCCAAGTAACCGGAACTACAGGTGTGCGCTACCACGCCTGGCTGATTTTTTGATTTATTGTAGAGATGAGGTCTCGCTGCCCAGGCGGGTCTCTGCTGGTTAAGGGTATCAATGAAAAGCTAAAATCTTTTCTCTTCACTACCTCCAGCTCGTCTCCCAGAGGTAACCACTATTGAAAATTGTTGAGCATGTTCCTATTTTCTTAAATACTTATACTGACCCTGTTAATCTAGCTTTTTTTCATGTTTATCAAAGTCATAATTGCATGTAGTTTAAAGAAAATTGTTCTATAATAAAACATGAAATTCTTTTGCTCCCCCAATATCATCGCTTTTCTGCCCTGCCAGAGGCAACATTCATTTCTTTTAACAATTGTTTTGGTTTTACTGCTGTATCTCTGAAAAATATACTCATGTTACTAATACTTTATTTTTTTTTCAGTTTTTGGCTGTTTTAAATTCGTTTTTCTGAGAAACAGACTCATGGAGACTTGCATACAGGAAGTTTATTGGGAGTGTTCTCAGGAACAAGAGAATAAGGGAAGCATATTGGGAAGAAAGAGTTTTTTTGTTTTTTTTTTAATCAGAGTCTTACTCTGTCGCCCAGGCTAGAGCGCAGTGACGTGCTAATATCCACTGCAGCCTCGACCTGCTGGACTCAGGCGGTCCTTCTGCCTCAGCCTCCAAGTAGCTAGAACTGCAGGCATGTGCCACAATGCCTGGTTAATTTTTTTATTTATTGTAGAGATGAGGTCTCACCAAGTTCCCCAGGCTGGTCTCGAACCTGTGGACCCAGGCATTCAAGCAATCCTCTCATCTCGGCCTCCCAAAGTGCTGGATTTATAGGCATGAGCCACTGTGCCTAGCCCAGAAAGAGTATTAGAACTGCCTGTGACCAGGCACAAGCCTGTAATCCCAGCACTTTGAGCGGCCGAGGTGAGGATTGCCTGAGTCCATGGGTTTGAGACCAACCTGGGCAACTTGGCAAGACCTCATCTCTACATGCACTCCTGTAGTTCTAGCTCCTGGGCAGGAAGAGGCAGAAGCATCGCCGGAGCCCAGCAGGTCAAGGCTGTGGTGGCTGAGCATGCACTGCACTCCAGCCTGGGCAACAGAGTGAGACTCCAACTCAAAACAAACAAATAAAAAACTGCCTTGCTGTCACACAGAGACCTCAACTGATTCCGTGGGGGAACTTTGGAGCTTGATTGTCCCTTCAGAGTTGTCCTGAATTGAGGCAAAGGGACCAGGCCTTTGTATCCTCACATGCACCGGTCATGACTTGTGGCTGATTCCCAGCAGTGGTGTAAGCTTTGGTGAGGCTGCTCTCTGTGGCCAAGGGCACTTTCTAGGGTGGGTCTCATTCTGGATCTGGTAGCATCCAGCACTCCCAGGAGCTGAGGGAACAACGATCTTGGTCTTGCAAGGGGATCTGAGTGGCTTAGCCCAGCATCCACTATGCTCCTTGAACCCTTCAGATCCATTTGCTTCATATAAGTTTTCTTCACCTGGGAACAGCTCCAGAGCTCTAGTCTTTTTCCCAGGGAAGTTAGAAGAAAGTTAGTGGGATAAACTGCAGTTCCCATTGCTGATGTTGGTCCCAGAACTACAACTGATACTCATCATCTCTTGCCTCTACTATCCATTCTAGATGCCTCTTATCCTTACCTCAGCTGACTCCTCTGCTGGTCTGAATGGCTTACCTGGTGGGGTGACCTAGATCTGTATCCTTGGGGATTTGAGCTCCTGATCATTATGCCCTTCTCAGGCCATAACTGCCTAGCACAATTGAGTAGGGGAGTCCAAGAGATGTGCCAGTGGATCCCCTGGGCACCAAACATGTTCTGGCCAGCCCTATTGTGTAACAGCACACCTGCCTCCTCCTGATGGTCAGTCAGTCTCCTGCTAAGATGGTGACTTCTTACCTACTTGTCTCTTGGCACAAGGAGATAAGATAGCAGTCATACCTTACCATTTAATAAGATTCCGGTTGTCTCCTCTGGTGAAAGTGTATGCTCTGGGACCTCTAGACTCACAGAGCCTTGAATTGCAGGGATGGAAGGGAGGAGTGATGGTAAGCAGGGCCACTCTAGCTTCTTGGTTCCCGGACTCCCATCTTCATGGGGTATAATTTCTGAGCTGGTGCCTCAGCGCACTCTAAGGTAGGGATCCCCAACCCCTGGGCCATGGACCAGTGCTAGTCTGTGGCCTGTTAGGAACAGGGCTGTATTGCAGGAGGTGAATGGTGGGCAAGTGAGTAATGCTTCATCTGTATTTACAGCTGCTCCCCGTCACTCACATTACCGCCTGAACTCCACCTCCTGTCAGATCAGTGGCAGCATTAAATTCTCATAGGAACGCAAACCCTATTGTGAACTGCACATACAAGGGATCTAGGTTGCGCACTCCTTATGAGAATCTAATGCCTGATGATCTGAGGTGGTGATGCTAGTACTTGGGAGCAGCTGCAAAAACAGATTAACATTAGCAGTGAGGAGTGAGGTTTGACTGCATATCACCCACCTTGTTCCCGTCCATGGAAAAAATTATCTTTCACGGAACAGATCCCTGATGCCAAAAAGGCTGGAGACCACTGCCATAAGTTAAGCTTTTCCATCTCTCAGTTCTGAATGGTGGGGTATGTGATAGAACAGTGGATCCCAAGTTCCTGTGCCCATTGCTATAAAATGGGTCCTTTGCTTTAAAATGTGTTCTTTGGTTTAATACAGTGTTATGCAGTGCCTTTGTTCATTAGTGCTGCTATTAATATAACAAAATACTTGAGACTAGGTAATTTAGAAAGGACAGAAATTGATTTTCTCACAGTTCTGAAGGCTGGGAAGTCCAAGATCAAGGCACTGGCAGGTTCAGTTGTCTAGTGAGGGTTGTGCTCTGCTTCCAAGATGACATCTTGTGGCTGCATCCTCTGGAAGGGAGGAACACTGTGTCCTCAGAAGAGAAGGCAGAAGGGCAAAAGGGTCAGACTGTGTGAAGTCTCTTTATTATAAAGACCTTATTTCCATTCATGAAGAAAGGAGCCTTCATGACATAATCATCTGTGAAAGTTCCACATATAAATACCATGACATTGACCATTAAGTTTGAACATATGAATTTTGGAAGGAATATATTCAAGCCATAACATGCAATATCTTGTGTCATTTGATACCTTAAGCACTTGGATAGTGGCGTCAGTTGAAGCCCTGTAGATAATAAAAGCAAACCCATGTCCAGGATATTTGTTGATACCTGCCAAAATGAATTACTGTTCCCTCCATGGTAGAAGGGACCCAGTGTAATTAACTTGCCACTATCGAAGGATGGTGAACTCAGCATATGTTTCAGTTGCCAGTAGTTTGAACATTTGTTAATAGCAATAGCTAGATCAGCCTTGGTAAGTGAAGCCCATGATGTCAGTCTCATGTATTGCTTCCATTTCAATCATTATGGCTACTTTGTTCATGCAGTCATTGGGCCAGCACTACAGTGGCCCTCAGGAGAAGCTAGCTGATGTCAGCTGGCTGAGTCTTTCTGTTTACATGGTTGTTTAGTGCCTCTTCTTTGGTGAGTATTGTCTGGTGGACGTTAGCATCAAAGATCCTCTAGCTTCACGCTCACACCCCTTTGTTCCATATGCATGCTTTTCCATACCTCCCTAGTTCACAGTCTGCATCCATTTTCTTCCAAGTTCCTGACCTATACTATCCAAGCCATGTGTCACCGCCCTTAAGTTTATAAATATTCTTACTCGGGCCACTTTTCTT